AAATTGCTCATAAAAATGTTACATTTGATTGATGTTGCAATTCTGTCTTTTTTTTTGTGTGTGTGTGTGGTTATATGTGTGTTACTGACTGTGTGTGTGTGGGTATCTTTGTGTTTTTGTGGGTGTGTGTATTTGTTTTTGTGATTGTATGATGTAAGTGCGCTTGTATGTGTATTTTTGTGTATGCATGTCTGTGTGTGTTTGTTTGTTTGCTTGCGTGTGTGTGTGTATGTGTGTAGTGTGTACGTCTAGCCACTATTATTACCTTCATGTCACTACTTTAATTGCACCCTGTATCAAATATGTCGACTGTGAAACGAATTTTAAATTAGCAAGTAAGAAGTAATGAATGAATGAGTGAATGAATGAATGAACGAATGAATGAGTGAATGAATAAATGAATGGACGAAAAAAAGTATAATCTAATGACCAAATGACCAAATGAATGAATGAATAGAAGGATGAATCAAATGAGTGAATCGCTAAACGAATGAATGGATAGATAGAAGAATGTATGAATGATTGAATAAATGAATGAATAGATGGATGAATGGATGGTTGAATGAATGAATGAATTGATGGATGAATAAATGGTTGAATGAATAAATGAATTGATAGATGAATGTATGAATGAAACACGTGATTGATGTTACGGCATGTGTTGCTGGCCATTACCTTTATGATAATTGCATGCCTTATCAAATATGGCGACTGCGAAATGAATTTCAAATTAGTGGAATGGTGGAAGTGTCAGTATATAAGTAAATGAATAAATGAAGGAAAATGAATGAATGAATGAATGAACAAACAAATAAATGAATGAATGAATGGAGAACGAATTAGTCGGTTACTACATTGGTACTCAGGAATTTTTTTCGTAAAGAATATTTTGGGTGTTGAATTAAAATGGGCCGTTCGGTATAAATTTGAATGAACGAACGAAAGAACGAATAAGTGAATGAACGAACAAACGAATGAATGAATGAATGAATGAATGAATGAATGAATGAATGAATGAATAAATGAACAAAAGAACGAATGTTGAATAATTGTTTTCAAGTGGTACTCGGCGTGGCACGACAGGTATTTGATTGCGTTGACAGCCTCATATCAATTGTCATCAGAGATATGCTTAACACTTCCTATACCATTTATGATGGAGAGGAAGATGATGATGGTGACGACGACGATGACGATGAAAATGACAAATACGGAGCAAGCAAGCAGTCACTGTCTAACTGCCCTGTGAACCCCACAATAGACCTGTGGCGAAACCAGACGGTGGTTGCTGATTGGCTCGGGCCTCGCCTGAACCTAATATAAATTGGCTGAAGGGGCAACAGCAACATGATGATAATGACGAATGTTGATGATGAGGGTCATTATCGCAATGATGAAAACTCAGCGTTGATGATGATTGTAGGTTGGATAATAATTAGAATAATTAAATTAATTGTTCAAGTTATTAAAATTATTAAATTAGAAGCAAATCAATTATTTTTAAATTACAAATTTTCTTAAAATTACTGCGGAAAAAAATTTTGAAAAATAAATTTTCGACTGAAAACGCAAAAAACCTCAGCAAAACTAAAACATGAAAGAATGAAAGTAGAATTAATTTCGGCAATCATTTTCATGCTGAGGATTTTCTTGATGACGACGACGATGATGATGAGATGATGATGACGACCATGAAAAGATGACGTTGACTTCAACAAAATAAAAAAAATGACAACACAACGATGGCAACAACATTGAGCATGATTTCACGGTGACGAACATGACAGTGATGAAATGACGTCATCGTTGATAAGCGATGACGTCACGATGACAAGATGATAATGATGTGGTGATGATGACAATGAAGAGTTCGTACTTTAGTATCCGAAGCACACAGACAGACGCACAAGACAATCAATAAAAATCTATCCAAAATAAATGCTCTCAATTGTTTTTTGCTCGTGTTCGTTGTTGTTTCTGTTGAGTAGGTCGGCAGACATGGTGGAGAACGAACGAACGAACGAATGAATGAATGAATTACTATTATCATTAAGATTATAATCACCATCATCATCATCGTCTTCGACATTCAACATGAAGATCTGTCGTTTATCTGAAGTTACGCCAACCTAAACAACGGTCATGAAGATGTTGATGGGACATCCTTAGATGATAAATATGATGATAACGATGGTGATGATAGTAATGAGAATGATGATAACGATTGTGATGATGGTGATAACGATGGTGATGATGATGATGATGATACAAATAAATAAAAGTAGAGTTAGTCCCGATAACATATTCTTAATTCATCCATGAAGCAAATTTTTTTTCACATAAATACACACCCTCATATTTTGTCTCACTAACTTGACTTAACCTAAAATTTTAAAAAGATTACGTTTGCTTTTGAACCAGGTAACACTGCGATAGTTTAATTGTAGTTCGTGAGATATGAAATACTCTTAAAACTTTCAAATTAATACCACATGACGTCGGTGATGATGGTATAATGTGATGTTATTTTTTTTTTTGACAATTTTTTTATAAAAAAAATAAATTAGCTGCACGCTTATAAAGGCGGGAGAATGATTTTGTACAAGTAAATTAATGAAACATTCAAATCTGTTTCAGTTATTGTCAAAAGGAGTTTTTATTTCCAAATCACACTCATCAACAATACGCTTAATAAAAATATTACCGATGAAAAAAATTAACAATAACAACAACATTACTACTACTACTACCACTACAACCACTACTACAACTGCTACTACGACCACTGCTACTACTACTACTACCACCACTACTACTACTACTACCACCACTACTACTACCACCACTACTACTAGCACTACAATACTACTACTACTACTACCAATAATATAAATAATAATAATAATAATAATAATAGTCACCATCATCATTACCAGCACCGACTGGTCATTTTGGCCATTCGTCAGCATGGTAACTTAGTTGGCAACTCTTTACATTTTCGAGCCTTTCATATTTATTTCCTTAGCAACCTCGTTGTGAGAAAAAAGATTTGCATAGAACTTTTTTATTATTTTTATTTTATTATTTTTATTTTATTATTATTATTATTATTGGATTATATTTAATTTTTTTTATGTTATAATCTGGTTTGTGTATTTTAGATTAAATTTGTATAATTGTTATTCAGGTTTTTTTTGCTGTGTTTTTTCTGTTGTTTTTAGTGTTTTTTTTCCAGTATTCTTTGGTCATTTTTCTACTTCTCTTTCTATGGAATGGCCGTCATGGGAACGTGACTGACTATTTGAATATAAACGTGATTTGAAAGGTGCTTTGTGAGTAATGATGATGACGATGACGATGATGATGACGACGATGATGACGACGATGACGATGAGGATAACGATAATGAAAGTGATGAAGAAAAAGAGGAAAATGAAGTAAAGTTAATGGCGATGATGATGCTTAGTAGCCGAAATTAGCATCATTGCAATCAAATAACCCCCAGTGCAAAAACCGATTTCAGGATCTCACATACACACCACAGACACACAAACACAGACACACAAACACAGACACACAAACACACCCACACACACACACCACACACACACACACACACACACACACACACACATATATATATATATATATATATATATATATATGAGTGTGTGTGTATGTGTGAGTGTGTGTGCGTTTGTGTGTGTGAAGTTAATCAATGCTAACAGCTTGCTCACTTGATTTCTTTTTCCCCTTATTCCTAGAAATATATGCGAATGTTCCAGTGGACAATTGAATGAATAATGAATGAATGAAGGAATAAGTAGATGGATAGGTGGAGGGATGAGTAAAAGTGTGGAAAGATAAAGAAAGGAATGGATGGGTATACAAATGAATGAATTGTTGAATGGATGGATGAATTGGATTAAATGGAGAAATGAATGAATTAATCAACGAACGAGTATTTGGATGTATTGGATGAATTATTGGATGAATGGTTGGAATGTTCAAGTAGATAAACAAATGAATGGATTTTTGGATTGATAAATTAGAAAATTAATAGACTAGAGGATAGATAGATAGATGGATAGATGGATAAATGGATAGTTGGATAAAATGAAAAACGAACGTAGAGGATTGTACAGCAGAATGACATATAACCTAACTTTTGGATAGGTGGATGGATGAATGGACGGATGGATGGATGAATGGATGGCTGAATGAATGGATATCATCTAATGAACATTTGATACCTTCGTGTTCGAGCACGTACAAAGAGTGCACCGAGAAAATTAACTATGCCGTACGTATTAATGAATTATTAAATGAATGAATGAGTGAGTGAATAAATGAATGAATGAATGATTAAAAAGATGAATGGATGGATAAATGAATGGATGATTGACCGCATGAAAGAATAAATGAATTAATACCTTAATAAATGAATACTTAGAACACGAACAAAGACATGAACAAAAAAGTAGCTTTAAATTGATTGAAACAAATTAAATGGAAACAAAAAATTAAAGAAAGTGACTAAATGAGTAAATTAGTGAATGACTGAGTGAATGAGTGATTGACTGATTGAGTGTCATATTTTAAACGAATGAAGTCATCTCGTCAGATAATCTGGTAGTTTTTTTTTCTGGAGGTAGTCAGTCGCGCGAGGAAATGTGGTTTCAATGCTTTTGACGATGTTGATGATGACGAAGAAGATGAAGATGATTCATCCTAATCACTTTCATCATCATCAAAATCACTACCAGTCCATTCATCATCATCATTATCATCATCATCATCGTTATCAGTTTAATCGCCGGCACCACAATTTTATCACCACCATCATCATCTCCACCATCAACATCACCACCATCAACACCATCATTCAAATTTTCATTTTTCATGGCCGATATGGTCGCATACATACGCGCAAACACAACTAGGCACACAAACACACGCGCACACAAACACACACGCACATCCACACACACACACGCACACACACATGCGCACACACGCATACACACCACAGATTTTACTGGGACTTGTTCATGTTGATCTTGTTGATGGCCAATCTGGTCATCTTACCAGTGGCCATTTCTTTCTTCAATGACGACCTGAGCACGCACTGGATCGTCTTCAACAGCATGTCCGACACTGTCTTCCTCGCTGATCTACTCATCAATTTCAGGACTGGTTAGTTGGTTGGATGGATGGTTGGATGGATGGTTGGATGGATGGATGGTTGGTTGGTTGGATGGATGGTTGGATGGATGGTTGGATGGATGGTTGGATGGATGGATGGTTGGTTGGTTAGTTGGTTGGATGGATGGTTGGTTGGATGGAAGGTTGGATGGATGGTTGGATGGATGGATGAATGGTTGGTTGGTTGGTTGGCATATTGATTGGTCATTTGAGTGGTACGTTATTTATGAGTTGTTCGATTTTTATTCAGTAGGAGTTTTTTAATAGTCCACAAACCCAACCAATAATTCCATTTTATTAATGAACGAACAAACCTACCAATCAAAAACCCAACCAATCGACAAAACAACACATCAGCCAATCAAAAACCAGCCAATCAACCAATCAACAACCAACCAATCAACAAGCAAACCCATTATCCAATCAAAAACCAGGCATCATAGCGGACAACTTTGCAGACGAAATAATTTTGAGCCCGCGGGAAATAGCCCGCCACTACCTCAAAAGCTGGTTCACCCTTGACCTCATCAGTTCACTGCCCATTGATTACGTCATTCTTTCATTCTCACCCGATGCTAACTATCAACTTTTGCATGCTGGTTAGTTGCTTGTGCGTGTGTGTCTGTGTGTGTGAGAGAGAGTGTGCGAGTGTGTATTAGTGTGTGTGTATGTTGCTTATTATCAACTTTTACATGTTGGCTAACTGCTTGTAAATGTGTGTGTGAGTAAGTGTGTGTGTGTGTATTTTTGTTGGTGTGTGTTGGTTTTTTTAAAGTTTTTCGTGTGCGAAGTCGTAAAAAAATGCATATATCTTTCTGGATTGGCCGGTGATTGTTTGGCATTTGTTTGCTGACCAACAAATTCATTCTGTTTGTTTTGAACGTTTTGTTTTCTGTTTTGTTTTTTGTTTGTTTGAAACTTCTTTTAACCAGATGACACGTAGACAATGAGTGCAGAGTGTGATTGTGTGATTGCTGCATCTTTCTTTTAATATTACTGATTCTTGTCTATCTTGGTTTTTTTCTTATCTCTATAATCGTTTTTCTTTTGTTGTTCTCAATAATTCTACTTCTAACTCCTCTACTCTTATTTTCGGGGTACCTCAGGGTTCTATCCTTGGCCCTCTTCTATTTATACTCTATACTTCTGAACTACCTCGTATTATTAATAACTTTTCTTTCTCTAGTCAACTATATGCTGATGATTCTTACATTTATACTTCTTTTCCTCCATCTAATCTCAATAGTGTTCTTCATAATTTATCTCTATGTCTTTCTTCAATTATCGCTTGGTCTGACTCTATGTGTCTTAAACTTAATCCTTCTAAGTTTGAATTAATTTGTTTTAATAAATCTAAACACTCAATAACTATTCCTCCTATTATCTTACCTGATTCTAAAACTCTTGATGTCTCTCATAAGTTTCGTAGTCTAGATTTTATCTTTGATTCTACTATGTCTCTCTCTTCTCAGATTAATAGTGTTGCTAGAAGAACTTACTTTCATCTACGTAGAATAAAAAAAATTTTGCCTTTCCTTGATGATCCTACTCTTCTCCTTCTTGTTACTTCGTTAGTCTTATCTAGGATTGATTATTGTAACTCGCTCTACTATGGTTTTACTGACTCTATACCCTATCCTTTAAGTAAAGCTTTTAACTCTGCTGCTCGTCTAGTTGCTCGTGCCCCTTTCTTTTCTCATATATCTCCATATCTTGTTCTCTTGCACTGGCTACCTATAAAATATAGAATAATTTTTAAAATTTGCACGTTCATGTATAAGTCTCAATCTAAATTATTTCCTAAGTATTTATCTGATATATTAATTGAACCTAAACGCCCCGGTTTACGATCGTCTTCTTCTTCTCGCTTTTTCTTAACTCGTGTTAAACACTCTTTTGCCAAATCTGCTTTTGCTTTTTCTGGTCCTTTTCTTTGGAACTCTCTACCTACTTCTCTGACTACTTCTCCATCACTTGCGAAGTTCAGAGCGGATCTCAAGACCCCTCTGTTTTCAAAATTCAAAATTCATTGAGGAGCGCTGTTGAACATCGCGGAAATAGCGCTTTATAAGCTAATTGATTGATTGATTGATTGATTGATTGTTGAAGAGGAAAGCAGTTGATGAAATGATAGAAAAAGCGAACGAATGCATAAATAAATGAATGAATAATTTGTTAAATGATTGATTATTTATTTGTCATCACCATTGTCGGCATCACCATCATTGTTGTAATCATCACTGTTTATTTGATTTTCTGACTTGTTATATTTTGATCGATTGAACGATTGATTGATTGACTGATCGACTGAAATGAATGAATGACTGATTGATTGATTGAAATCAGGTCGAGCTCTAAGGATATTCAGGTTGGTGAAGTTGCTGAGTCTGTTACGTCTGCTACGATTGTCACGATTGGTCAGATACGTCAGCCAATGGGAGGAGGTTATCAATCCTTGTCAATTATTCATCATGTCTCTTTGCCCTGTATTTCATCAATGTCATTATCACTATCATCGTCGTTCTCATCATCATTGTTGTTATCATCGTTGTATCACCATCACTATCATCTTTGTATCATCATTGATATCATCATTGTATCACCATTGATATCATCATTGGTTACATATCTTCCCAGTATCATCAGCGTGTTTCCTTATCAACAATGTTTCTCAAAATATACGCTATTTGTTTTTTTTGGCAATAACACTATATACCAAAAACACCAAATAACAAAAGGGTAACAATCGCTTCATTAAAAATTGTTTAACCCCAAAGACACAAAATAAATTAATTTAAAATAATTTATTATTCTCGAAAACAAAATCGTTTTATACCTTAAAAACTCTTATTTATATACTCCAATCAAATACAAAGGAATATAAATAAACACCTCATCACCATCATATCACATTCAAGCAGTGGTTTGCCATCGTTAATCACAACAAATAAACATCTAACTAAAGTGAAGAGAAAGAAAAAGAAGAGACACACATCATTCTAAACTCGCGGCATATTATATTATCGTGGGGGGTGCACTGTCTGTGATAAACAAATTTTATTACCACAGAATTCTCGCTTTTGTAAGAAATTTTTTTTCTTTGTTTGTCAGTAGGAGGGCGAAAAATGAGAGAAAAACTGAAAAAAAAACTTAAACCAGAGCAAAAAATTGTTATAAGAATAGTTGCAGTAGAAAACACATACAAAAAAATGAAAAAAAGCAAGTCGTTATCGCATTATACTATTTCATATGATATGCAGATTCTTCTTGCTATAATGATGGTTACAAACTTGGTTGCTATGGTTAGTTAGAATAAGGTTTCCATGGTTCTATAAAGTCACCGATATTCTATTGTTGTTATCATCATTTCACTGGGAAGTTATTGTGGTTTTGATTATTGAGTTGTTCCCAAAATGTGTGTGTGTGTGAGTGTGTGTGTGTATGGTGTGTGGTGCGTGTGTGTGTGTATGGTGTGTGTGTGTGTGTGTGTGCGTGTGTGTATCTATTGTTATTCGTTAAGTTTGAGGTTTGGCAAAATTGTTTTCAATGCCAGGTAGCTTTACATTCAGGAATGGCAATTTATTGTTTTGCCACTTTCAAAACTCCTGGCAGATGAAATCGAAACGAATTATCGTTAATTAATTGCTCCTTTATTTTTCTGACCTACTTGCTTATTTTATTTTATTGTTATTGTTTATTTTATAACGAACAATGCGAATTGAATAAAGATGAACAAACATGAACGAACACAGGTGAACATGAACGAACGCAGGTGAACATGAATTAAACCAAATGGACCTGAATAAAGAAATATGTTTTTAATAAAAACTATGGCTTTGATTAACTGTTTGGTTGTAGAGACGAGTTATGATGGTGATGAGAATAATGATGATAAAAATAATGATGGTATTAATAATGATAAAAATATTTATGATGAGAAAGTTCGTAATAAACTTTGATGATGGGGACGACGACCACCATGTTGGTCAAAACCTTCATGATGACAAAACAATTATGACGATGATAACTACAAAATGGTGATGACGAGAATAATTAGAAAGACGATAATAAAGGCTAAAGAGGTGATGGTGAGTAAGAAAATGATGGTGGTGATGATGAGAGGGATGATCAAAGAGATGGGCTACTGTTGATGAAAGGAAGTTCGGAGCACCATTTTAATTAAAATTGATGATGACTCGCTGGATGTTTTTTTTAATTTTGAAAATTACTCATCATCAACTCCGCCGACTGTGACATGGAAAAACAATTTTTTGTAAATAAAATTCCAGAAAAGAGAGATAGCAAAATATTTATGATGTCACGAATAAAATGGTGTTTTTAAAAACATAGATAAAAAAATAAGAAAATCTAATGTTTACCAAAGAAAGTAAAGCTTGTTTATTTAGTTATCTATGCTGAAAAGTAAATGTCGCCGTGAGAAGAAGTTTCATCTTGGCAAACAAAAAATTTGCTTTCATGCATTAATTCGTTAACCTGATGATGATGTTTAACATGTCAAACATCTTCAAACATCAAACAATAATAACTTGTTTGTTTGAAGAAGGTCTACGTATGTGTACATGTGTGTGTGTCTGTGTAGTTGTTTGTGTGTGTGTGTGTGTAGTTGTTTGTGTACGCGTGTGTGTGTGTGTAGTTGTTTGTATGTGTGTGTGTGTGTGTTTCCGGCTGTGTAGGATAGGAATATGTAGAAGAAATACACTGCTTTGATTATCGTTAAAAATTACTTACTATCATTTATAGCAATAAATGTTTCTATATTTTCAATTTAAGTTTTTAATTTAAGTTATAATTTATATGAATAATAAATATTATTATCTCCTCCATTTAAAATTTTTATTTTAAATCATTCAATTTTTTCCCATTTGATTCAAACAATGACTTTTGAATGAGGCTGGTGCTCACTGGAGCAGGCGATACTTGGACACAGTCGGCAGTCTCGTGCATCCAGCTGAAGAGGGTGGAGCAAAATATGACGGGAATATAAAATAATTACACTGAGATTTTGAAAAAGTTGAAAAATGAATGAAATCAATGATGAACGAGTCGAGTAAAAAAAACAAAAGTTTGCAATTTTTTAAATCCAAATATTTTGATAAAAACTTAATGAATTTAGTCAAGGATTTTATTGAATGTCTTGCCAAAAACTCTAATACACCACTTAAAATATCGTTTTTCCAAAATGCGTCACATGAAAATCCAATGCCAACCCATCATGTTAACGAATGCTTATATCTGCAGAGAATTACACACACTAAATTACAGACATAATAACATATTAACAATAAAATAAATATTGTAAAATGTTACACGACTTAAACATATCGGTTCTATACTGTACGTTCTTTCCAATTCAATGGCTCGTATGTGGATATATAGTACTCAAACGCGTTTGAACACACGCCCGTACAAACATATGCCCGTACAAACATATACACAGATACATTTAAAATACCCACACGTACGCACACACATACATACATGTACACACTATATACATATATATCTATGGATAGATTAATCAGCTTGAAGATATGTTAATGATGTAGGTATGTAATTATTTTTGCTTAACAACAAAAACCTCGCGATGCCATCATAATTTTTGGGGAGTGCAGTAAACTTGTTTGTTATAATCGTGCTGGAGAAACTTTTATCCATCTATTGATCTTTCCACCTATCTATCCATTCATCCATTTATTGATCCCTTCATCCATCCATCTTTCTATCCATCCATCTATCCATCTTTCCATCCATCCATCCATCTATCCACTCATCCATACGTACCACCATTGTTTATCTGCCCTTCAGGTTTCAAAAAAGTAGGTACGTACGTGTAAACCAGCAGATGAACAAGTGTGTTCTTCATTCATTTACGTCTGCTAATGCCTGGATTTTGTGTGCACGTATTTGTGTTTGTGCTGGTTTGTATTGGTACGTGTGCCTATTTCCATATCCAGTTGTACGCTTGCTTGTCTACAAGTTTGTATAACTGTAGAATGAATGTACGTATAGAATGGATATTCATTACATAGGTGCATTGAGATTTGCAGCCATAGAGTAATCATTTGATCAATATTTGAATTTTGGCACAGCGCTCGCTCGTTATACGTCCTTCACATTCACCGACATAAAACCTCCAGATCAAACTAAGGTGGAAACTACCTTTCAATTTATGACTCATTCAATATTCAACATTTTCTTTGTTTAATTTGCAAGATTTCTATTAAAATTTCTTTCATGTAGTTTGTTGCGTTGCATCTTGGAGTGTATTTTAGATTTTGCGTGTGTTTGTATGTATGTATATGTATGTATATGTGTGTGTGTGTGTATGTGTGGTTGGTCGCAAGTTGGTAGGTTGGTTGGTCAATTGGTTGATCAGTTGGTTGGTTGGTCAACTGGTTGGTCGGTTGGTCAGTTGGTTGGTCAGTTGGTTGGTCAGTTGGTTGGCCAGTTGCATGGATGAAGGAATTTGATGTGCCTTCGAGAAGTTTAATAGTCAGCACGTACATCCAAACAGAATATCAACATTGGCAACATAAAAAAACTTGATGATGCTGTTTGCTGCTGCTGACGTGATGATAATAATGATTATGATGATGATGATGATTATGATGATGATGATGATTATGATGATGATAGTGGTTATGATAGTAGTCATGAAATTTTTACAATCTTATTTCCAGTGTTGATGAGGTGGACTATGGTGATTATCTTTAATTCGTGTTAATACAAATGCTTCGGATTGCATGCAGTGATAATCAAGTTGGAGTCTGCAGCATGAATGTTGATGATGATGGTGTATATAATCTTAATGATGAAGGCGATTCACTCACTCACTCACTCACTCACTCACTCACTCACTCACTCACTCACTCACTCACTCACTCACTCACTCACTCACTCACTCACTCACTCACTCACTCACTCACTCACTCACTCACTCACTCACTCACTCACTCACTCTTTCACTCACTCACTCACTCACTCCCAGCATCTGCGATCTACATTAGCAAATGCACTCAAGCAGTCCTTAAATTATGCAAAAAGATGAAAATGAAAGAGCAAGAGAGAGAAAGAGAGGGAAAAAAAGAGAAAAGAGAGAGGAGAGAGAGAGAAAGAATGAGCAAAAAGTGAAAGTGAAGAAAACAAACAAAAAATAAGTTAATGGAAAATTAAAAATACCCGAGGGAGAAGGTGTATAAAGCAAAATCCACAGGAGAAGAAATAGGAAAATTCTTCCTAACGCCCACCACCACACCAAAACAAAATCACTCCTCCACTCAAAGTGAGTTCAGCCGCGGGAAAATATCTCGCACTTCAGAATTTTTTTCATTCATTTTTTTTAAATTTTTCAGGCTCTCGTTAAAAATTTTAAAATTGACTCGCAAAAAAAAGCGGTAATGTAGTAGAAAGTGAATGAGAAGTAATAATTAGCACGAGGTAAGCAAAAAAATACAACTACTACTACTACTACTTCTACCACCACCACTACTACTACTACTACTACTACTACTACCACCACTACTACTATTACTACTACAACTACTACTACTACCACCACCACTACTACTATTACTACTACAACTACTACTACTACTTCTACCACCACCACCACTACTACTACTACTACTACTACTACTACTACTACTACTACTACTACTACTACTACTACTACTAGTAATAATAATAATAATAATGAGAATAATAAAAAATAATAATAATGAAATTTCACTTTCCCAAAAGTGCACACGTAGAATATTTACTGTACATGGAAAGCTGGATAGCCAACATAATAACAACGGGAGGACGTACTAGTTCTATAACAACAACAACAACAACAACAACAACAACAACAACAACAACAACAACAACAACAACAACAACAACAACAACACCAACAACAACTACAACAACAGCAACAACAACAACAATAATAATAATAATTATTATTATTATATTAATAAAACTAAATACAATAATAATAATAATAATAACCATCAAGACATTCCCAATCTGCATTGGATATTTTTTTTTCGTGAACGACGATAATAAACGAATTGCAGATGTATCATGAAACTGTTTTCAGCTCAAATATCTAAAAATTAAAGGCAACACACACACACACACACCACACACACACACACACAACACACACACACACAACACACACACAACACACACACAACACACACACACCACACATACACACACACACACACACATACTCGCAGCATACGTGTTATGATGTTTAAAGGCATAAAACATAAAACTCCTAAAATATGTGCGCTTCTAAAAAAAAAGGGCTGCTGTAAATTTGGAAAGCGTGCTAGTTAAATGAGAAAAAAGCATCTTTTAACAATGAAAATAACAAAAACAACACCAACAACAACAGAACAACAACTACTGCTACTACTGTTGTTGTTGTTGCTGCTGCTGCTACTACTACTACTGCTACTTCTGTTCCACTGATATTTCTGCAGTACCACAGCAAAACCGCCACAACAACAGAAATATCACAACAAAACTTCAACAACAACAACAACAACGACAACAGCATGCACATGTAAGCATTATAGTGTAATAAAAAATTTTCCATGTTGGAATAGATGGATGAGATATAGATGGTAGCTAGGTGGGTTGGTAGGTGAGTTATAATAAATCATGTCGGTATGAGTATGTGTATTTTGTCTTTGTGCCTGTGTATCTGTGTGTGTGTGCAATCGTGTGTCTATAGTTGTGTGTGTGTGTATGTGTGTGTATGTGTGTATGTAGATCAA